TTAAACCAGGCCCGTGTCACAGCATGCATGTTACATAATATTCTGAATCTTTAAATTAAATGTATGCATGTGGGTCTTGAGTTCATAAAAAGCACTGAGGTGCCCTTCTTCTTGTAGTCATGGGAAGGCTGTAGTGCTGGTGGATGCAGCCCTGCCTTCTTCGTCCCTTTGCTGGCAGACAGGCAGACAGGCCCAGCCTGGGCTTCTCCTCAAGGCTGCCAAGCTCATCTTGGGACTGCCACTGTCTTTGCTGTGCTCTAGGAGCCTTCCCTCCAGTTCTGGCTTCCTAGCTTCACAACACAAGCACGCCCGCACGTCCCCCCTCCTCACTGCTCGTTTCTTGTCTGTCCCACACGATGTGATGTCTTCCTTTCCCCAGTTCTGCCAGCACAACAGTTGGTGTGGTGGCTCATTTGGCTCGCGTTGCATAAATTGTGGAAGTGTTTATTTGGTTTAAATTAAAAACAAAGTCATGTTGGCGAGGTTTTTCATCAGGCAGCTCAGTTCCACAGTCTGCTCTGCAGATGGGTTGCAGGCCATGGCACAGGGGCAGGAGGGAGTGCAGGGGATATGGGATGTGGATCTCTGCCCAGCCCCCTGCATCATGACACTGCAACCATCAGGAGCAACATCAGCGGCTTACAAGAGCAACTCCAATCTGGGATTTATTTTAGTTTTTTTGGCAGTGTTGCACTCAGGGATTTATTGCCCTTTTGGATGCACTCAGCTCGTATGTTTGAGATGTATTTTGAGGGCCAGAAGCTGGGATTCTCACACGTACCCATCAGGAGTGAAGGGAAAGCATGCAAAACTGCAAGCTGCACAAGTACACAAGAGCCAGCAATGCTGTGAGCAGGTGAGTTCACCTTTCAGAGCGTTGCTGTAGCTCCGAAGAGCAGAGTTGGCTGACAGTGATGAACAAGGAGTTTCCCTCTCTGTAATTGGCCTCAAATTCAAGATTGCCTGTGATGTTCAGGTAGACTGCGGCTCATACAGCAGCAAGGAGAGTCTGCTTCAGCATGGAGGTGAGACTGGGTTCTGCACTGAGACTTGAGCAGACTGAGCGACTGCTGACGGCCAGAGCAGGGAGTCCCATCAAGGAGCTGCATGTGCATAGGCTATGTGGGCCAGAGTCGAGAAGAGTTTCAAGGTCAGTGAATAAAGCAACTGAATTCGTTGCATTCTTTGTTGGAAGCAAATAGAGAAGCAACAGCATCTTAGTGAGGAAGAACAGACAAAGCAAAATGTGGCAGGGACTGAAAGAGTGCACGTGCCTCTCAAACCAGATGTTACGCTACACCACATTTTACAGAGTATGCATTAAGTACTGCTGTACAGTGTGCACGGCTGTCAGCTCCCTCCTCAGCCCTGATGTGCTCAGACACTGTCTCTGCCCTGAAGATTTGGCACTGTAACTCGATGTGGCTGGAATAGAGAAGGGCACTGGGGGCGTGGTGGCTGCTCCAAGGTTACACAGCAGAATAAAATTGAAACCAGAGATTCCTGTCCTGCCTCCAGTGTTTGGACCGCTAGATAGCAAGCTTATAATGCGGCTTTTTATGCTTCCTTACTGCCCTCAGTGAAACTGAGTGCATTATAGGTATTGATTATTTAAGCCCTGAGTTGTGCCTGATAGAGCAATGTTATAATAATTGTTAGAACAGCATTTATTTCAAGTGTAGCCAGAGATAACATAGCAAAGGGTAAAGCAAGATCTAAGCCAATCAATTCTTGGAATAATGTAATTAAATGATACTTTATACATAAGAAGCATTAATTCAGCTTTAATGGCTTGAATTGGTTTAGGTTTCTTAAGAAGCAATTGAGGAAATACAGAATAAAAGGATGAACTCCTGGTCATGTTGAAATTGATTGGAGTTTTGCCATCAATCCCAATGAGGCTCGAGTTTCTCCAGCCTTGCATCAGCAGTGATGCTGAGCTGGCTGCCCTGCACTCGTCATTCCTTCTGCTGCTGCTTCTCCTTACTCAGCGTGCCATTCCCTCCAGTGCTGGATGTGTCATACAAGTCGCATCACCCTGGGACTTGATGAGGAAAGTGGGTGAAGTAATGTTGCTGACTGAATCTTGGCCTAAACCGTATTGTGATTTTATTTATCTTTTGGTACAGAAACCAGAGGAGTTCTCTGATGCGTACCGTCTCAATCCATTTAACTATGATTGTTCATATGTCTAGCTGTAACTACATGCTGCAGTGCCTTGGTGACTTGGGTCTGAAAAGACTGCATTCAGTGCAACTCCTTTTTTCTGTTTTTGCTATTATTGCTAAACCTGGATGTTGCACTTAGCATATCTACATCGTCTTTTTATTTTTTCCTTTTGGAGAAGAAGAATTTGCCTCTGCTCTCAGTGATGTTGCTAGTGTCCCCATGTGAGGCTTGGCAGTGCACATCTGCTGTGACAGATTGGGATGAGTGAAGGGTGTCCCAAACTTTGCCACTGTTCGTCTGCAGATAATTTTGAGCAGGACTGACACAGTCCTCAGTCCTGACTTAGGCACATCTTTTTCACTGGTGGGCCTGATTCTGCAGGCATTCCACATGCACAGCTTCTCCTGGAAATTATGTATATGCAGGGCTGCAAGACTGGTCCTATCATGACTATTTCCTGGCAGTGGGAAAAGGCAGAAACTATTTTTAAATGAAAGCTTTGAATCAGAAGAATATTGCAGAGTGCAGCAAAATTTGTGTCAAAACCCTGAAATCATGGACTCGGCAGTTTTCTCATGCCAGCGGTTTTCTTCTTTTCATGGTTTTAAGACTGTGTTTTTGGAGAATTGGGCTGAGTGTTTTTTGGTGAGATGTTTCTATTCTTCTTGGTGGGCATTATCTCAGCAGCAGCATTCACTGTGCAAGTCAGGCTGGGGAGAGACAATGCACTGTGATGTGTTAACAGGGGTGGGGCTTTGCAAAAGAAAACAAAAAAACTTCTGATTTGCCTTGCACATAATCAAAATGGTGCTTAAAGTTTGCCCCCAGCTTCATTATTCAGCTGTTTGGTTTGTTTTCAGATTTTGTGCTATGTTCCTACCTCTGTGTACATTTCCAACTTCTCTGTGGTCATTTAGGAAAGCCAAAAAAGAAAAAACCTGTGTTTCTTTCTCTTAGCACCAGGAAATTATGCCCTCTTTTCCTCATCACTTGCTTTTGCATAGCTCAAGGATGACCCAAAGGGCTTTTGCTCAGATTTTCATTTAAAACGAATCAATTGATTTGATCAGAGAACATTATTTCCCCCCAAAGAACTTTCTGAATGATCTGAAGATGTAAAAACAGGCAGTTTATAATCAAAATTGTTTTGCTGTCTTTTATATAGTGGTCACTACATAGCTAATGTCATAAAATCCACTGCCTCAGAGGGAGATGTTTTAGTTAATTAGTTACAATCAGCACAATGCTTAGGGAGTCAATGCTCCTGCCTGTATATTTGCCTGCTAACATAATCATAGGTTAGCGTATCGTGGCTTATTTCCCATACCTGTAATGCAAGGAAACTTTCAGAATCACATAATCATAGAGGGAGACAACAAGCATCTTTCTAATCAGCCATTTTCCATTCTCTGGACTCCTGAATAGCTCAGGTGAGCCCAATTCTCAGATTTCCTGTTCAACAAACATGAAGTTTCCCAGTCCAGGACTTAGAAATCGTTATTTCAGTTACACATTTCTGATACTGTCTTAAGCCTTGTTTTCCAGAGCCATGGAGTTGTCTCTGCTCACAGATCCATAGGTGTAAGTCCTCCTTGTTTTTTGGGCAGCAACCGCCCCTGTGGGGTAAGGGACTGAGTTTTGGGAAGATGGCACAATGTCCAAAGTGAGGCCATTCACAAGTGATGTCCTCTGGGGCCTTATGCTAGGTCCAGTCCTCTTCAACATCTTCATTAATGATCTGGATTCCAAGCAGTGTACCCACAGCAAATTTGCAGATTTCTTTATAAGAAAACTGGGAGGAGTGGCTGATGTACGAAAGGCCATGCTGCCATCCATAGACAGGCTGGAGAGGTGGGCTGATAGGAACCTCATGTTGTTCAACAAGCAGAAGTGCAAAAGCATGGGCACGCTGCTGGAAAGCAGCGTAGTATGAAAAGGACCTAGGGGTCCCATGGACACCAAGTTGAAGCTAGCAATGTGCCCTCGCTCCAGAGAAGACTAATGGTATCCTGGGCAGCATTAAGAAAAATATTGCCAGCAGGTGGAGGAGGTGATCCTTCCTCTCTCCTTTGCCCTGCTGAGTTCACACCTGGAATGCTGGGTTTGGTTCTGGGCTCTCCAGTACAGAAGAGACATAAAACTTGGAGAGACTCCATTTAAGTCCTCTCCTATAAGGAGAGGCTGAGAGAGGAGGGGCTGTTCAGGCTGGAGAAGAGGAGGTTCAGGGGGATCTCATCACTGTGTGGAAATACTTGAAGGGAGGATGCAAAGAGGACACTTTGCAGCGTTACCAGAACAAGAGGCAGAGGGCACAAACAAGCATAGGAGATCAGGAAACACGGTGATAATGTGATAGTGACTGAGCGGGCCCAGGCCAGGGCCTGTGGTGTCCGTACTTGAGCTGGGGTAGGAGCTGATGGATCCAGAGGTCCCTTCGAATCTCAGACATTCTGTGATTCTGTAACTTTTGGAACTAGGAGTTTGACATTCTCCAAGGGGTGTAGGTGGCTGTGACCCTGGCCCCAGTGGACTTGCTCTCGAGGCAGTGTTGAGATGGGCCAGCCTGACACTGCTTAGGGTCACTGAGCACACTGTATTCACACATCCCTCCAGGGGTTTGTCTGCAGCCCAGATATGTCACCAAACTGTGTAAACAACCAAGCCTGATGATTAATATTGCACAGATTTTACTTTTTAGGTTCTCCAAAATTAAATGGTAAGGGAAAACAACCTGGTGCATTCTTTGGTTCGAAAAGTTGGGGAAAATATAGTAGCACAAGGGAAAGAGAGAGAGGTAAAAGCCCAGCACTGACCCAGGTCTTGCTTTCCAGGTGACCTCGTATCCCGAGCCATGCACCACCTCCAGCCACTGAATGCCAAGCAACACGGGAATGGCACACCAATGCACCAGAAGCAGGGATCACTCTACTGGGAGCCGGAGGCTTTGTACACCCTCTGCTACTTCATGCACTGCCCGCAAATGGAGTGGGAAAACCCAAATGTGGAGCCATCAAAAGTCACGCTGCAGACTGAGAGGTAAGAGCCACCTTAGAGTGTGTTTAATATCTTTGTGAAAACATTTTGCTGATAAATCAGAGTTGCTGGCTAATTGCTAATTACGGCTTGTGCATAGGAGGCTGCAGAGCAGTCTGTTTTGGCTTGGGATCACCTTTTTGAAATCCCGTTTCTCTTGCTGAAGTGCTCCATGGCTGACCCAATATATATCAAAAGTGACACCCAGTGGCTACTTTCAGCAAATTGGTTCCAGATGTGCACTTGGTAGAGATTTCCGTTTTCTTTCTTTGTTGCTCAGCTATTCTATGTTTTGGAAAAGAAAATGAGAACTTCTATTTCTGGCATAGCAGGTCTAGGTTTAAATGTGTCTTTCTACACATTAATAGGGTTTGACAGCTGTGATTTGGGAAGTGGAAAATGAGTAGAGTAGCGTGTAGCAAGGAGGGGTTGTTAAAGACGCAGTGCCCCAGTTGTGCGAGGTGCCAGGGTAGGTTATGTACTCAGCACAAGAACCTGGGGGCTGTGAGCTCCTGCCCAGCCTGTGGAATGTCCTGCTTGGGATGTGGCTGCATCCACCCTTTTATATTAACCAGGGCAGAAGAAGTGAGTTCAAGACTCAGTCCTGACTCAGAATCTTCTGTAAAGAAAGGAGATGTAGATAAAGCCATCTTGTCAAAAACGCAGCAGCCTCTCTAGTAAAAAGAGCCAAGCTCTGCCTCCAGTTGTGGGCTGAGGTATATTCTGTTATTTCACTTCCCTGAACCAGGAGTTGCTGCTGAAGAGATGAGAGGAATGACCAGTGCTTGAAAAGAGATAGATATTCAAGTTTAAGATGATGTATCGTGGTGGTGCAAATGCAAGCTGAACTCCACATTCATGTCCTGATGTATCATGCTGTGTTTGTGAGCCAAACTGATGCACACATGCACTGACAGTTGCATGTACGGGGTTTGGTTATTGTTTCAGTATGAAGTTTGCATCTCAAAAGCAGTGTTTGAGAATTTCATTATATATGTAACCATAAGTGGTATATAATATGATATCTTCATTGAAATCTTTTTATATTGATTCATAGAAAATCAGACAAGATGAAACTCTGGCATTAGTTATGCTACTGGGAACTTTGCCAATTTTCTTTGGGTGGCATTTTGTTTCTTTCCAAGTTTGGGTCACTCAGTTTGCACGGTCTTTGGTTTTTGCTCTGTTGATTCTCACGTGTGAAAGAAAACAGAAAGGGAAGTTAAAAGAATCTGGAATTTTTATATCTTTCTAAATTAGTTTTATTTCATGAATTGTTAGCCAACCTGGCTCTTGCAGAAGGCCTAACTCATGAGCAAGAGTTCTCGTGGTTAGTACTATGCTAAAAGTGGTGACTGAAATTAGAAGATATTCTCACCTGATCTGCAGTCACCATCTGTGGGAGTTAATGCCATTGGGACCAGTGGAACTATAAAGGTTAGTAACAATGAGGCTCTGGTTTTGTAAAATTTCTAAAGACTTTCCCATTGAAGGTGAAAGGGGCAGGAATATTTGTAGAATCTCATTTAGCATTTGCTTTAATAGGTTTTCCTTTTCCTGAGGTAGTCTTAATATATCTTCTCTATGTTAGAGCAATTGAAATGCTGATTATATAAAGCCAGATGTAGTTTCTCTTCTTTGCTATATTACGAGTATTCAGTTTGGCAAAATGTCTTCCTTTGGAAGACCGGTTTAACAACTGTGGTGTGTGGTTAGGGCCAAAGTAAGTATTCAGTGTTATTGCCAAGAGTTTGTGGTCAATTTTGGAAGGAACAGATACTCCTTCTATTGCCTAATCAAACATGCGTTTGTACTTTGTGCTGGAAAACACAAGTGGAAGTGATGCAGGGGTAAGCACGTGCCCAGATATTTCCACTGGCTGTGCTGTGTAGCATGCCTCACCAGCACCAGCTGGATGCAAGTATCTTGGGCTGCCCAGCAAGTAATCCAGTTCAGCTGATTTCTATTTAGTGCTCTGAGAAGTCTCCTTTCATATTTCCAGTCAAAGACTTATCAGTGCTGTTCTTTATATGCAGGCATGCTTTATGGTCCATGACTTATTTCTGGGGTTTTCAGTTTTCATGGTGGGTTTTTATGCATTATGAGGAAGTGGGTTTGTTAAACATGACATTTTTATATGCAGAATATTTGCAGGCTTGATGCCTTATCTCTGTTCCTTATTCCCTCTCTTTTCCTTCGGCTGTGACAATGACTTTAATGTTGGAAAAAACACAGAGAGAAGGAAGGAGATCCAGGCAATTTCCCCCTTCCCTGGCCTCTCTGGGTCCCAGCTGGTGCAGAGAAGCCAGGAAATGAGTGGATCTGGCCACAGACAGTATTTTCTTGGAACGGGGGTTGTACTTGGCTCATTTGAAGACAACCTGGCTACTATTTTGGCCCTCTTTCCTGACCATGCATGCCCAGGATGGGGAGATGGTTATGAGACGTGGCCAGAGAACTCCCCAAGTTCTCACAGGGCTCAGTGGCCCAATGGGAGCTTCTCCTCAACATCTCTACTCCACTCGGGCTTGGGCTCTCAACCACAGCTGAATTGGGTTGAGTTACAAAACCGCAAAGGCCCTGCTTGTTCTTCTCTAGCAGCTGGGTGTGGAAGGGAAGCTGGAGCCTAATCCCTGCAACCAGTATGGTTGTAGTCCTGCCTGGGTTAGCACTTTTTAGCACAAAAAGCAACACCTCCTGTAAAGTCTCATGGGATGCATAAAATCGGATGTTTACCTTTGAATAAATCCAACACTTCGCTTCTAGGGAGTATTTTCTAGGGAGTGTTTCTCTGTGTTTGCTCTTCATGGAGGTAAAGGAATAAGAATGCAGTCTATTTATAATAGTGGTTGTCTTCACATAAAATGAAAGGGAAAAATATTATGCAATAATGAGGCTGAGAGAGTAGGAAAGTGGCTAGGATTTCTCATAAAATCTGGAAAATACTCTCTGCTACTCAAGCTCCAGCAAACCCAATCAGAAGACAGTTGTGTGACAGTTCCCCCATCCCCAGATTTGAATAAACCCTGTGCCTTTTTGGCTGTGTTGTTGGCACTACCACAAGCCAGTCCTGCTGGGATGGATTATCTCATGGCCCTGGGTACCATGTAGATGCTATTTTGGCAGATGTGAAAGTGCAAGAGGGGATTTGGATCTGTTTGTGAGGCCACTGTTCCTAATGCATCCAGCCAGGATGCAGTGGAGACATTTCTCTTGTGCCAGACATTGTCTGTGAAACCATCATTCCTCTAGTGCCCTCACGTGTGAGTGGCTGCAGATTATTTAGGTTTGTTCATTCTTCTGCTTTCCTGGGAATTAAAAAAATAAGAATTTGTCAATTAGACCGCTGTTGCCAAGATTTCTTTCTAGCTTGCTGCTTCTAGTTAATAAAAGGATCTGTCCCGTGGTTGTGTTTTGCTTCTAGGCTTCCAAAATTATTGCAAGTAATTTCTTAAGCACCGGAAAGCACAGAATCTGTAGTTGCAGATTTGTTTGATGCTTTCCCTTAAGTGGTTCCTTACCCACTTTTACCCACAGCTGAATTGACAAAGTCCTCATGACTTCCTAACTCTCCATGTTCCCCATTAACAACTCATTGAGAAGTGGTGGCTCAGCACTCCGCCTGTCCAGGGCCTCCCATTAATTCTGCTCACAAGGCAGCAAAGCGCCTTCCCCAGCAGTTCCTCAGTTCCTTCAGCACTTGGTACGACTGTGTCCATAAAATAGTCATAAAACCATTTCACTAAGAATACAGCCAGGAAGATGTGGCCCTGCTTTAAATCATTCTGTGGTCCAAACTCTAGTAAAGGCCAGCAGAAAGCTGAGCAACCCCAGGAGTTCTGCTGAGGAGGGAGAAAGCACAAGCATTGCACCTCTGGGAGAAATTAGAATGGGGAAGTCCTGCTGTGAAACCGGTTTACCCTGCGGTGTGTTTGCAGGACATTACACTTGCTTGGCGTGCTAGTATGGCATAACCTTGTATTAACCCCATGGTAAAACCATGGCCTCGCTGAACTGAGGAGTTATCACCATTTCTAATTTCTCTGGGAGGCACTGAAAGGGAATCTCAAATTCATCCTCATTCATCCTCTGCATTCGCATCGTAAGTATCAAACTTCCCACTTGTTAAAAATCACTTCAGAATTAGTATTGGCAGCTGCCTGCAGCGTGCTAGATTGCACGTGGCACACGAAGCAGCACAGACAGCATTTGTAGCTCTGCTGTCAGGCACCATATCCTTGCGGTGCTGGGGCTGTATTCTAAATCTAATTTATCAAGCGAGGCTTAAGCTGTCCGTGTGATCGCTATAGGATTTGTTAAATAGAGAAAACTGTGTGCAGTGTTGAGAAGAACGTAGCACCAGGGCTGCTCTGCGCCGTGTTCCCGATAGCGTTCCTGCGACTGGCTTCTTTCCAGGGATTTCTGTCGCAGCCAGGCGTGTCACATTCGATGTCAGAACAGCCTGGGAAACATCTCCCTGCTGTCGCTGCCGGACAAGTCATCGCTCTGACTTGGTTGTGTTTCAGGTCTTGCCCAGAAATGCTTTCATGCAGGAGAGGCAACAGAGACTGCGTGCCCAACCCCTGGGTGTGAGCTGAAGGTCCATGACTTGCAGATCTTCTGGTGCGGACCCAAGCACTGCAGGCTGGGTGCATAGAGCATATGGGTGAACGCTCCCTCTGCTCAGGCAGATCCTTCAGCCTGAGTGAAATGTAGAACTGCCTTTGTCTGAGTCTTGGGCCATGCTTAGCAAAGCTTCTGGAGTCACAGAGGCGTTGAGCAGCCGGCTCCTTGTGCAGCATCTCTGGAGTGCAATGGGAAGCATTGGCTCTCAAGGAAGACAAGGAGTTTGTGTTTAAATATAAAATGCATGTATTGCAGCCCAGAAACCCATTCAAAATGTCTGCTAAGGACTGGAGAAAGCGTACTTTTCTGGTCGTCAGTAGTGCTAACAATGGGCTAGCATTATATGTATGGTTTAACGTGTTTTCTAAAAGAAGATTGTAAGATTCAAGAATGCTTTGCAATCTGCATATTGGGATTTTCTTTCTACGACACCCATGAAAATATAAACATTAAGGACAAACAAATGAAGTGATCTTTGCATCATTTTAAATTTGCTGACTCATATCTGCAAGCAGAAACATCTCTCCACCTTTGTCTGAATATGCTTTTCTTGTAAAGCTACAGCCTTCCCTTCTCTGCTGGAGGGCAAGGTGTGTGAGGAGTAGCTGAGGTCCCTGGGTTTGCTCAGCGCAGAGCAGAGGAGCTGAGGGGAGGCCTGATGGCGGCTGCAGTTCCTCACAGGGAGCGGAGGGCAGCGCTGAGCTCTGCTCTGTGTGACAGCGACAGGGCCCGAGGGAACGGCATGGAGCTGCGTCAGGGGAGGGCAGCTGGGGGTGAGGGACAGGTGCTGCCCCAGACAGTGGTCATGGCCCCAAGCTACTGGAGTTCAAGGTGCATGGGGACACTGCTGTCAGACGTACAGTCTGATTTCTGGGTGGTGCTTTGTGGAGCCAGGGGTTGGACTCTATGATACTTGTTCTATATCCTATGTTCTGTGATTCTGTTGTCACTCACACTCTCACTTATTGCTTTTAAAATTTTAAATGCCAGCAATGACCTGTGTTTTAAGGAAAAGCAAGGTCAGGTCTGTACAGCTGTGGCCACTTTCTATCTGCTGAAACTGAGAGAGGAACAGCAAGAAACATCTGAGATCCAGTTAGGACGGTTGTGTCTGCAGATGTCTGCAAGGCAGAGGAGCTCATGAGTCCTGAACTGTTCCAAAATAGATGTGAGAGAAGTGTAGGGTGTGGGGCTGCAGCAGGGAAGTAGGGAATGCCAGTGAGGTCAGGATTTGGCCTTCACAGCTGTAGTGGAGTATGTGCTGTCACCTCTCCAGTGTGTCCCATGAGCCTCAAATAGGTGTGGAAGAGGAAGGAGGCCTGAGATGCTGCTCCTGTAGGAATAGGTGTCTTAATGTGGTGAGAGCAGCCCTGATAATTCTCTTCAGTGTAAGCAGGAGTGCAGTGAGGGCATGCTCGAGGATGATCTGGTTGTCCCCTTGCCAAGGGCTGGCGACAGTGCTGAGAAGGGTCTGGCCTCTTGGGAGCTCTTCATTCTCCTCCCCCTGCAGCTTTTCTGCATAGGACCAGGGCTGCCTCTGCACAGAGACCTCTCTTTGCATCCCCATCTGGGACAGCACTTCCCTTAGTTCAGGAAAATGTCAAAGCTTGTGCCAAAATCCATTCATTTTTGGGACATGACTTAAGATCATGTTTAGCTTCCCAGCAGTGCATGGAAGTTGCCTGGTGTGTGCCCTAACTGCTAAGCGCAGGTGCAGAGGGGCTGGAGGAGGTCAGTGACTTCTCTGCTTTCTCTGCTCTGGATCTCCTCAATGCTGCCTGCCTTTGTGCGGCAGAGATAAATCAGTTGTGAGTGCTATAATGATGTGATGCATTCGCTTGATCTGTTTTTGCAGAGTGTCATTTGGAAAGTGATACATATCTTGCTGATGTCATGCTATCTTGTGGATTGCCGCCTTCCTATAACTTTGTGATCCTCTTTCTCCTTTGGCACACAAATAGCATTCAAAAAAAACCAACCAACTTCACATGATGCATGGACTCCTGAAGGGTATTTTTAACCTATTGCTCTCAACCATATTTGGTTCTCCTCTCAAAACACAAATTCCCTGACATGCTCAGATAGGCAGTGGCGGGGCTTTTTGCCCTGGAAAAAAGAATGTAATATATTCTGAGTGAATCCCACATCCTTCCATGCAGAGTAAAACTGGTCTTTAGAGAAAATCCCGCAGCTTCCCTATAACACTGCTTCTCTTCCCTTTCAGGATTTATTGCATCAAATAAATTCATTTCTATTTCTCTGCTGAAGCTTGCAAGATCAGGAGAGAAAACATGACATCTTGCAGCAGAGTTGGTTCCGTTCCTGTAAATAGTTTTATTTGCCCTGCTCAATACTGCAGTGGGACAAATCTTCTGTTGGGTGAGCTTCTGCCCTGCACAAGAGGGGAGAATAAATGAGCCCCCGAGTTGCCTGTTTTATAGGAGGGTGAACAATAGCCTAGAATTTAGCTTCCTGTTAACTGTTTCCAATGCACCAAGGTCTGTGTGTAATTATATGCATTTTTACACTTCCAGCATGATTTGCACTGCTTCCCTGTTTGTTCGGTGAGTGATGAAAGCAACTCCCACCGATCAGTTGTTCCCAGCAGTCCTGGCTGCAAGGAGCTGCCTTGCCAAGCCCCTTGCCATCAGCCTTCTGGAGCAGCACACAGCAGAATTCCCTGCTTTTTTGTCCCTTGCTCCTCTTAGGGTGCAATAGTGTACCCTCTCCATCCTCCGACCATTGCCATCACTGCGATCCAGCTGGGCTCTGGAAATCTGATCACAATGGCTGTGGGAGTTTGTTCTCTTCTTATCGTTCTCCTCCCATGGCAGTGGCAGGTCTGGAGAAAGGGAAAGCTGGGAAACAAATGCAGCCTGGTCTCGAGGTGATGGAATTGCATTTGAATGGAATAATAATGGAAGTGTCAAGTCAGCAAAAGTTGTCATATTTCAGAAGGAGGTTATTTGTTTACGTACCCATGCGAATTGGGAACCTGGTGTCCTAGGGAAAGTCAGTGGCCTTAGGGCTTCTGCGTCCTTCAACACTTTTGAAATATCTCATCCCTCCTTAAGGATATTAATATCAGAGCTCTGTAAAGTTGGTTCTTAAAAAGAAAGAATAAATGCCATAAAAAGCTATAAATAGGAAAAAGATATTCCAGAATCAACATTTGATTAAATCATTTTTCTCAGGGTAGATTATTTTTGGGTAAAGTTAGGTATTTAAAATGCAAAGTTTTTGCCTACAGGGTACCTAATCCAGCTTTTTTTTTCTCTCTATTGGGAGGGACTACAGAAGGCAAGACAAGTCAGGCAAAGCAATATCAGATAAAAAGTAGCAGGAGAAAGGAAGGAAGCAGAAGTAGGGGATGATGCTACTAACAAAATGAGATACTGAGCTAATAAACATAGAATGTATGGCTAAGAAGGAGAAAGGGAGCCATGGAGGAAAGATAAAATGATTGCCTTTTTTCCAGGGCAAAAATGATAATAAAAGTTATAAGGTTCAGGAGGAGAAGGTAGAAGCATGTTAATAGCAGGTGATCCTTTAGTAGTCATTTACAGACTTCATCTCTCTTTCTCTTCCTTTCTTTTATTTTTTTATTTAATATTATAACATTATAATAATCTCTGTTAACATCCCTTAGCCGTGGTATCTTCTTTTGAATAGAATGATCTTACTTTGTCTACATAGTTTTCAGCAGTCCTAAGTACAGAACTTTCAGCATAGTTTACATGTAGCTTTTGGGCAGATTTTTTTTTTTAAACTATTATTTCATGATTTTAGAATTTTATACTAATCTTCTACCCTACCTCAGCCCTTCTCCACTCAGACTTTGCTTTCTTATGTGCCTTGGAGGATGCCATCAGTACTGGGATGTCCACAAAAACCATTTGGGGGTGGGAAGGTTACTGCTGTGACTTGCATTGCTCTCTAGGTTTTGTTCACTGTGATCTCCCAGGCAGTGACCTTCCAAGATGTTCAGCTGCAGATCTTCTTTAGTTTTTTTAAACCCTAAACTTGGGCTTGGAGTTATGGTTCTTGAGTGTAGATGTGGTCAAGCAGTGTGCTGTGTGCTTCTTGTAAGGCATGGGCTGCTCCTGCTAGAACATGGGGCTGCCCAGGTGCTGTAAAGCAAAGGGCTGTGTCTCTGGCAGCAGCCACATGCTGGCAGTGACAGAGTGAGAGCTGTGACCAAGTCCCACTGTGCCCTTTGGGGACAGTGGTTTTGCTCACGTGGCAGAACAGCCAATACCTAAAGGCAGAGCAACTTGATACAGACTGCAATAGGTATAAAAGTGAGATGATCCAGTCTGATTGCTGATGCTGCTCAACAATGCAGTGGGAGCAACTGTTGAGGTCCTGCTTTGCAGCGAGGTGCACCTTGCGTCAGTGGAGATGCTGGAGATGTCCTTGCACGTTGCCTCTGCGTGCCGAGCAGTTAGGGTCAGGATCTACTTTCTCCACCCTTGTGGAGCAATAAGGAGTGTGCCCAGCTCCAGTGCAATCATCCAGAGCAGGATGCCATCCTGTGCTGTCTCCTGCCCTCTTTTGGGACGTATGGTACAGAGGTGGGGGAGGACTTTGGGTGCGGGTGCACCGATCTCACAGGGGCCCCGTAAATGGGCATGGCTTATAAATCTGACATTTTGACTAATCCTGCTCCAGAGACGGGGCTCTTGATTTAGACCTGCATGAAATTTGCTGAGCTAGTTTGCTCCTCTACAGTTTCATTTTGTGTCTTTCCTTCTCCTTGTATTCTACATCCTTTCTGTACATTGCAAACGCATCCGTGCACTCACCCCCCCCCAAGCTATCACCCTATAGCCGTTGTTTTGCTGTCTGTACCATAGCACTGATGTCTGTGTGCTTCCCCAGGCCGTTCATCGTGCTGCCGCCCCTGATGGAGTGGATTCGGGTCGCCGTGGCTCACGCAGGGCACCGTCGCAGCTTCTCGGTGGACAGTGATGACGTACGGCAGGCAGCCAGGCTTCTGCTGCCTGGAGTTGACTGTGAACCTCGACAGCTAAAGTAAGTCCACAGAAAGATCGGATGCTTTGTGCAAAACGTGTGTCTCTCTCTCTCTCAGTGACGGCGAATTAGCAGGCAGGCAGAGGGCTCTCTCATTTCCCCGAGAGGTGCACGGATGCTCGGGCTCGTCGCTGCGTGCGCTGCGAAATCGGCTCTGGGATTTGCTCACATCCGTGGATAAGCTGGTTGCACGGTAATGGGTGCCTGAATATCTCACAGCTGGACCGAGCCCGTAATCTGCTCGCCTGGCTTTTTTCTCTTACTGTTAGGTTCTGCTTGGTAATGAGGGGCTGAAATTTTCTGCTAATTGTCTGCTTCATATTGCTTCGCCCTAGAATACTGAGATACAACTGGCAAGGCTGCAGATATTTTCAGTGCTTTGTTTTCAGCATTAATGGTTAAAGGGCAGATTTAAACTTATAGGTAAGACTTCTTCTCATGGTAAAATTGTATTTTCCATGCTAATGTCAGTTCAAATTAGTTGTAAATGTCAGCCTGGATAATTTGACTTTTTCATGTATCAGATGTGACCTTTTGGTTTTCTAATGAAGTCCTAAAGTATTTATTGCCAGAATGTTTTTAGTGTCTGTTTTGCTTCATTGTTATGTACATGTATAAAAGCATGATGTAGGGTTGTGCTGTAGTCGAGAACATAGTTGGTTTTGATTTTCGTATGAAAAGGCATTATGAATCTGACAAAGGAGAAATTACTCACTGATAACTACTTTATGAATTTGTATGTTAAAAAAAAAAAACATTTTTCAGCAGTCTGCCTCTCCTACAGCACTAGGTGCATTCCTCCCTGCAACGCAGAAGGCAGAGCAACGAGCTACATGATTAGCTGTGACAACCTGCATCAGAGCAGCTGGGTTGTGTTGACTCTTGCCTTGACATGCTCTTTCACCAGAGAGCATAATACTTTACTTTGTGATCTGCATGAGATTTTTATAGTTGAAGCCATTGAATATTTAATTGAAGAAATATGTTGAATTTCAAAAGCTAAATCTGGAGCGTTTCATATTTCAGATACTGACTGTAATTGCTTCCCTTCAGTGTGAACATCTTGACCCTCATTTCCAGAAGTGCAGCATTCTGCATCCCTACTGAAGTGTCAGGACTTATAGGCACAATGTACTTTCTGAGGACCTCGTGCTTGGTTTCTAAAATGCATCATAAATTAAATTCCTGTTTTGATTTTTAGGTAGGATTGTAAAAAAGGCAATAATGTTTGCACCGTAAATATTCTGTCTCAAAAAGGGAGGTAGATATAGTTAAGTATTTGTGCACTTAAAAAAAATGCTGTTCACCATTCTTCTTTGTAAGTGTGTGTGTGTATTTGTGTATATATATAGAGAGGCTAAATTGAATGGAGCCATGGGCAGCCTGATTTGGTGGGTGGTAGCCCTGCCCACAGCAAAGGGTTGGAACTCGATAGGCTTTAAGGTCCCTTCCAACCTTACCATTCTGTGATTCTCTGAATAACTTGTTAGATGATTTTCCAGAAGTTTCAAAATCACTTAAAGTTGAGGAGAGTTGCATTATGCCCAAGGAAAATTTATTAGTGATGAGGAACAAATCAGCGTTTAGTTTAAAGCTGCCATCAAGAATTCATTTCCTAATGAATGGAAGCAGTAGCTGTTGTCCTGCCTGTCTCACGGGCAGGAATAAGCCTGAAGAGCACAGCCCAGAATTAATCAGGTGGGAATGAAAAACTAAATCATTCTGGAGACAATCTCTGGAGTTCACAGAGACCAGGCATTGCAGTGTGCCCTTGTTTGACTCTAGAGGCCTGATTCACCTGCTGATGTCTCAAAGTGAGAATCTCTCCCCACTGCACAGTCAGAGGTCTGCAGATGAGCTTTGGGGCACTCATGTTTGTGTCAAGGTCCATCCGTGGAGGAGGTTGTTTGTGCAGTGGGGGCTTAGGCCCTGCATGCCTGTAATCGTGAGATGCAGAGGAGGGCTCTGCTGTTCTGAACAATAATGTCAAGCATCAGGATATTAATTTGAAATCTTGCACTTGTTGGTTTTTATTTGTATTTGGTACAGACCCTCTCTGCGTCTTACTGCCATCAAACCAAGTGTCAACCTTCCATGCCTCCCTGTGAAGGAGGGAATGTTCCCAAATGTACTTTCCTCAGCAAGCACTGATGCCATAAATGTAAACACTGGGAGAGGACACAGCAGCTTTGCAGGGGATGGCTTTATAAATAAGCTGTGTGACGGATGGCAGCTGAAGGATTTTAAATGCAGTGAGCTTGATATATTTTTGTGACTTTTATAAAGATGTTTTAATAAGTAGAACCTTGAGAGCCGTTCAAATTCTAGACTTTTCTTAGCGTTCTTCTTTCGTCCCTTAAATACAGAAACCCAAACCAAAAAACTCACCATGTGTTACATCCCATGGCCCCTGTCCTATCCTGTGTGCAACTGCATCATTCCGTCGTGTTGATTCACAACCTGTCATTGCTAACACATAAAGCAAAATCAGCTTCCACACTGGAAAAATGCACTTACGGAGGGAGGGAGAGCTCTGGCAGAATCTCAAAGACTATGAAGTTCAGATAAAAAACAAATGTTCAGTGCCTTATCTGGACTACAGCATGGTCTCCCAGCGGAGCCATGTGACATCTCCCGGCACAATCACATACTCCAACAGTGAGGTTCCTGATATGTGTTTGTAAATCATCTTTGCTCTCTTCCTGCCTTTCACTCCAGTACTTCCTCTCTTTCTTTCCTCTTCTGATCTTTAAAAAAATCCATCTCCTTAATTTCTTACAGTCTCCTGAAAGAGGAGTTGCTTTTGCTGTGTGCATAGGACTGAGGGAGGTTGGAATCAGGCAGAAGCTGTCTGTCTCCTTCCTGGTCTCTTTTCATTTTAAGCACCAGACATGCCAGAAAGTTTCTACCCTTCCCCAGCTTTGGGAGATGAACAAGGATATAAATGTTCAACCTTCTCCCAGGAGTGGGAGCTTTAAATAGAGTTGTCTCCACCTCTTGCAAGGAGGTAGGTTTCACAGATGGGTTGACTGCTGGGTGTACAATAGCTAGCTGACACTGAAGCACAAGTTGTGCCAAAGACATAGTGGGAGACCAGACCTAAATAACATCCTGCCTGTTCCTAGGCCATGTTGTGCCACCCAAAGCAGCTGGATGTAGCCAGTAGAGAATCGCATGCCAAGCAGCTCTCTGCTGGCAAAAATCTGGTGAAGGTGGGTGCTCTGCGCCCAGCACTAGGCTTCTGGTTAGTGAAGGCATCAGGGGTGAAGGAAATTTGCTGTCAAAAGAGTGTGGTGGTATCATTTGTGTTGGACCTGCTCCTGTGCTGCAGTAAGGCAGCATTGTTCTCAAACTTCTCTAGGTCTGTCTGGTTGTGAACAGATGCCCGCCTTTGGCTGCTCCTCTTCATTGCATCAGCAAAGTGTAGCTTCCCCTTGCTCAACCTAAATACAAGCAGCTCATCACACATCTCTTTCCTTCCTCCATTCTGTAGGACATTTATTAAAAAAATAATATCCAATGTGTTGGATGTGATGTGGAGAATTCCTAATGGATGACTGCATACGGGGTCTGGAGGCTGAAGGCAGGGAAACAGAGGAAAGGAGGAACATCCTGTATTGTTCAGCACAAAGGCTGCTGTCTCTTCTATCAGTGGTTTTATTTCTGCTCGCAATATATTATGGCAGTCCTGCAGGATGCAAAGATGCTGGAACAGATTGACCAGAGAGAGGTGGTAGTGTCATGCAAGAAACTGTTACACAGTCAGTCTTGCACGTGGATGAAGCTCTATTTTCTGGACAGTCAGAAGTTAAAAGAAGGCTATAGTCTGGGGTGCAAGTGCATATATGGGCATGTATGTTCATTCTGATGTCAAGAAGCAATAAAAATTCAATTCTTTGCCAGGCTAGGCATTTCTCTGGGGCTGCAGCAGTGTCTAGAAGCCCTCTCACATTTGTCAGTGCCCAATCCCCTTGCCCAGGTCACTGGAAAGCTGCAACGCTCCAAACTGGCCTCTAGGAGAGAGGCAGAGTTCAGTAGCTTTGGTGAATGGTTTCTACTTGTCTCTAGATGAAGAGGCTCGTGTTTTGAACACTAGAGAAGCAAGGCAATTTTCTGCAACATTCATGACTGTCTAGCACAGGTCACAGCTGCTTCATTGGAGGCAGGTCTTGGCAGGAGGATCACAGGAAGATGAACTCCATTTGGGTGATTTTAACCAACCAACCCATACTCTCCCTGGTGGCAGATGATAGAAGCAGAGGGAATGGCATGGAGCTGCATTAGGGAGGGTCAGTTTGGGTGTTAGGAAAAAGTTATTCACTAGAGGGTAGTGGGTTTGGAACAGGCATCTCAGGGCAGTGGGCATGGCCCCAGGCTGCCACTGTTCAAGAGGCATCTGGATAATGCTCTCAGACATATGGTCTGACTTTTTGGTTGTGCTGTGTGAAGCCAGGGGTTGGACTCGATGGTCCTTGTGAGTCCCTTCCAACTCAAGATTCTGTGACTCTCTGATTCAAATGACAGTGGTGGGCAGTGGCATTTTTGCCATCATGGGTGAGTTCCAAAAGAGTCGGTTTCTTATTGCCCTATCCCATCTTGATGTGCAGAGCACGGAGCTCCCCATATGTGTAGTCAGATGTCATTGGAGGTGATAGCATTGCTGCTGCTTGTCTCAATGCTGTTCTCTCAAGTTGCTGGGCTTGCCTCCAACAGTGGCAGTAAATACTCCTTTCTGCTCTGACTGGCTGAGAACCTGGGTCCCGTCTCTGCTCCTGACCATGGACGTACCCATTTTTTTCCTCTTTTCCTGCAGCACAGAGAGGGAACTCATATATTTATGTCCCAGCCTTGAGAAGGCACCTGAGAAAGGTGTGCAGCAGTGCTAACAGATGCCATCAGCCAAGACTGAATACTTTGTTTTCAGGAAGAAAATCCTGATGGGGAAAGAAAACTAAATAATAACAACAAGGTTATGAAAATGGAAAAACGGCCGTCAAAAA